TTGATTTTGGATATTCCACCCGCAATTGTGGAAACTAGGCGAAAAATTGATAATTTATTGTTTACCAAGCGATTGGTTTCAAACTAATTTTCAATGATCTTTCATTATCTAGTATTATATATAAGAGGTATTAAGTTGTATTTTGAATGCTAAAAAATACGTATTTCGATACAAATAGCGCGTAGAGCCTTGAAAGCATTGAGACCTATAAATAACATACTTTTTCCTTAACCTCACTCAACTCGCCAACAAACTGCAATCACTTTAAGTGAGCCACACACACACCTATACTCACTCACCCACACACACACACACACACACACACACACACACACACACACACACACACACACATACACACGCAGAGAAAATGCAATAAAACTTGGGTAAATAATTTCGCGAAGTATCATTCCTTTGCCGCCATATTATTTACACAGTTAGCTTCTGCAGACGCCATTTTGTATTGCACTATATTTATTTGTTATTGCAAAGGACTTCAGTGTCATATTTATCAACATCTGTGGCAAATAATTTTATTAACTTTTCGCACAAAACTTGAACTTAAATTGAGGCTGTGCGGCAGAGGGTAACTTTTCGCGCTGGAAACTGTGAACTGTTCGCGAAAAGTTTCGGTTAAAACAGGTACAGTGTCTGCGCCTCAGTCTGTCTGAGCCTCGTAATTGTGCCCAGGTCCAGCTGGCCGATGTCCGGTGGTGCCGGCAACTTTGTGCTCTACTACTAACTGCAGCGCATATTTTATTATCATCCTTTGCGCAAATAAATAGACTTTTGCGCAAATTACAAAGCGCACAACTAACTGGACGACTTTAAGTTGAGCCAGGGTGGCAACTCTGGCGGAATGCATTCGTGCCCGTTTGTTTGTCGCTAGCGACAAAAACTTTGCCCTGATCTAATCAAAAATTCACTTAAAAAGTTTGCGCTTGCCCTCGGCTTCATGGCCAGAGCGGAGTGACTTCAAGTGCAGACCCCCCTCCCCCCCCTGCCCCATCCCTACCCCTCAACCCGCGTTATCGTACTCATTGTTGCATTTTCATTGTAAGGGAAAGTACAGTCGGCTTTGGTCGAACTTGGCCGAGCACCTAATGAAATGTGCTCTTAACTGTGCGACAAGGTGACAGTTAAACAATCAGCGAGTCTGTTTGGGCTGGCTTTATGCGCTGTCTGAGCACAAACGATGCTCGAAGAGCTTACGCATTTTCTTATTTATAATTCTCAACTGCTTTTAACGCATGCAAGTGCTATATATGTAGGTGTGAATTGATCGCTGATAGCTATCGAACGTTAAGATAGTTAATTATCTTAATGCAGCTTCAAGGAACAGCAATTATAACACTTTGATAGAAAGTATCCTCCCATAGATTATAAAGTCGCCAATACTGAAAAGAGATGTTGAAGATTTTTGAGAGCTGAGCATGGGCTCGGTATGCCAGTGTTGAAAAGTGTTGCTTAATAAATAAGTGTTGGATTTGTCAAACATGCGGGGAATAAGAATTTATTCGTGATAAAAATAAAAAAAAGGCATACTTATAAATAAATACTATAAATACTGTAATTCGATTGCTGTCTGGACTTTTACAATTTATTGTTAATGCATCTATCACATTTTGTCAATCGAATTGACAGCTACAACAATTTTATATTTTGGTTACTTAACTTCCACAGGGACATTTGACGTTATTTAAACCAATTGCATTCCATCCATTCGTTTGGCTAATGGACATTGATTCACAAAACTGTCAGCTGCCAGTGCTGCGAATGGTCACAGCACAAAAATAAACTGTGGCAACAACAAGAATTATACACAGTCAGAATGTCTCATCTGAGTCACAGCGTTCATTGAGTGATTGATAAATAAAGTGGCAATTTCAATATGCAACGCGATGAAAGTAACAAAATCTGCAGCCAAATTGAGCAACTGCACAGAAAGCAACTTCAGTTGAAGAAATGCTATCGTGACGTTTGCCCCTCGCCCCTCGTCCCTCGTCCTACACCTTCCTTCCCGAGCCAAACAATGCGCCGGAAAATTGCAACAAAAATTTCGTGTGCACACTCAAAATTTTCAAGTGCAGCTTTATAAAAGGAGCCGGCGAGGAACTCAAGCTGTCTGTCTTAAATACCCTGTAATTGTAAAACAGGCAAGTGATGTACGCTAGAGTTGGTTAAATTCATCAAAAGAGATTTTGGGCAGAGCAGCAGGTTATTGTGTTGGCTTCTTATATGGAAAGGAGTACGATAAAACTGGATACAGACGATTAGGCTGATGGAGATTTGAAGACAGAAGGATATTTTGCTTATAAAGATCCCAATGGAAAGTAGGCTGATAAAACTCGATGCAAATTTATGGAATGAAAAAGATTTGAAGACTGATGAATTTTGTGTTTATAAAGAACCTAATGGAAGAGTGTGTGATAAAACTGGATACAAATTTATGGGACTATTTAGAAGGATCCTAGTGGTAAGGTGTATGACAAGACTCGATTGAAATGGAATACAAAATATATAGGTCTGTTGCTATCAATCATACGTTCTCTTAATTGGCATCAAAAGCTAATTTGATTTTACGATCTAATTCACTTTTTCGCCGGCTGCTCCAAAGTTTTACATTTGTATCAATATATGGCATTAAATTTAATCAAATATATGCTTCCTTATGTTAACCAACACTGGAATAGAAAATTTATTTATACATTTTTTTATTTAAGGATTTTTTATTTCAAGAGTTAATCAAGCATTCGAATTCAAAGTTGGCTCAAAAATTATTGGCTTCTATACAAAGCAAAAGTACAGGGAATACTTGTACTTTAGAACTGTCTACAGGGTATTTGCAAGTCTAAAATTCTCGCTTAGCGTACTTATACTCATTTTATTCCAGAAATTTGCACAAAATTTCAAATAACTTGCAATCAAGGTGCAGAGGCTACAAACTTCTACAGTCTGAGTTTTTTCCTCCCTTTTACAAGGATGGAGGGCGCTGTGGCCAGGGGGGGGGGGGGAGAGAGGGGTTTAAGTTAGTATGGGTGTATTTCCCTAAACGCTGTCGCGTCTGGAAATCAATTTAAGTTAACTCAAGTCTATTGTTTTCGCGTCTGTTGAGCGCTTTAAGCATAGCTCTCGGTCTCAGTTTCCCATTCTATTCATTCCGTTTTCTGAGCTCGAGAGTCGGGAAGAATCGGGCTCTGTTGCCAGGAATTTTTATGAGCTGCCGTCGCCGACGACATCGGCCTTCTATCGTGCAACTTCAGACTGCGACTGGCTTGTTAATATTTCACCTAGATTGATACCGAGGGCGCAATGTAGGGGGGCATCCAGGGGATGGGGGCAATGGAATTTCATTATATGCAGCCAAAGCCAAGGACAAAGACATGTTTTTAATAGTTTCGAATGTTTGCGCTGCCTGCCTTACTCCTTACTCTCTTTATATTTTTTTTTTTTTTTTTATTTTGGGAAGTCCTTTTTATAATTTTTTTTTGTTTGGCATACTCAAAGTTTCCACATTTTTGCTTTAGCATTTTGGATAGCTGCATATTTAACCAGCGAACTCGACATGCAAAATCCACCAGCTTGAGCATAATGAGGCTTGGTTTCTCTTAGGACCGAAGTTAAAGCTGGTAAAGCCGACATTTGATTGAGACAAAATAAAAGAAGATTCAATACCCTTCCTATTTCTAAGCGGACTGCGCCAATTGTAGCTATAAAATATTTAATTTTATATTAATGTGGTCCCACTTTGTTAAGATTTTATCCATGCTTTCGGAACGTAGGAAATTAGTTTAAAAAAATATATATATATCCATACAAAAATGAAAACTTAAAGTCAGTTTTATATATAGTTTTATATATATAGTTTTCCTTAACAACAAATGTTATTACAAACCCAGCGCAAGGGCATAAAAAGATGAAGTCGTTTTTTGCCCTTTGCCTCATCTTGTCAACATCGGATTACTCTATCACATTGTGCCATAGGAAAAGTCGGTCGTAAGGTCAGTTTTTGTATGCCAGATATTTATGTTCTTTGAAACAAAACCCAGCAATCATGAGCTTAACTATTCTGCTTACATTTCTTCAATACGGTTAGCCACATGTCTACGAGGATATTTAATCTTAAATGTTTTCAAATATCTATTGGAGATGTCCTTCCCCGGAAAATACATTTCCCATTGATGGGTTTTTAAGGTAATACAGATAAATAAATAAGTAAAGAAAATCAAAGCCACCATTTATTCAAAGAGCAGTAGACAACAAGTGGACTCTTACTTTACTCTTAATAGTCGGAAGTGCTCGACTCGGAGATACCCTAAGCCCAGCGCTTCTTTGCTTAGAACCTTACTATGGGAAATGATTTCGTAATTAAATTCGGTGTTTATTGTCCGATCTTCATCTACATATTCAGTGTATTCGAATGGCAACAAATGTGTTCAATTACAAAAGCTCAGGGCAAAAGCTTCAAAAATGCTTCTTTTTTTTGAAATTTTTGTGAGAATGGAATAAAATATTCTGGATTTGTGCATACCATACGAGCGTCTCCATAAAATGCTCCACACAAACAAAGTTAATTTGTGCGGGCATTACGACCTATTAATTCATTCATTTGAAGTCTCTAGCCTTTATATTCTCTTTATACGGGTAGATGGATGGATGGACAGAAACACGGACACGGTCTAGATCGACTCTGTTGTTGTACTTTATGGGGTCGGAAATGTCTCCTTCTAACAGTTACATACGTTTGCATTAGAGCAATATACCCTATTCACCAATTAGCATTGGTTCATTCAACTATTCTTTGCAATAGTTGTAATCTTATTAAACGTCTTTATATTGATAACACATTGATAACATTGTATTTTGGACAGTGGTTTAGACATATTTAGCTTTTAGTGCCCATATCAGTGCTGCCGGTCAGTCGTCAATCATGACTGAACAACCAAAGTGTATATATAACTGATAAGCAAACCAATATCAATTGGCCTGGTTCACACAATATTCAGTCTTCATTTAGCAGGTGCGGAAGAACGCAGATCTTCGAATGGAAAGCAAAATTATTGTTCTGCTGCTATCGGCCCTCATCTGGACGGACTGTGCTCAATCTCAGCTGCCAGATAACTTCAGTTGCGAGACTGTTAGTGCACAGCGACTCAATTTAACAGCTGTAAGTTTGGCTACTAACAGCGACTGTTAACACGCTGTTAATGCGCTCTTAATGTCAATTTACAGCTGGCGGGCTACTGGTACGAGGCAGTCAGGGTGCCGAATGTGGATGTTATGAACTGTTTAAATGTCTCCGTGCCGGCAACGACGGATCATGAATTGGAACTGCAATTGGAGTACGTCAACACGGTTGATAAACGACCCCTGACCGTTAAGGAGACAATTTCATTTCCATGGGATGACGCAACTGCGAACGGCATTTTCAACCTGGAATACATTACCGAGGTGATGAACATAAGTGTCACCTACAAACTGGTCTATGCCCAACCCCAGCTTATGGCCATCCTCTGCGGCTACGCTAGCATCTCGCCGATGCCGCTCTTCAAGATATTTACGCGCCAGCGCCAGCTCGATCCAATTATTGTCAGCTATATTACCAAGCAATTGGATAAAACAAGCTATGGCAATAATGTTCATTGGACAGAACAATCACCGGATCGTTGTAATGCCGCAGTCAGTCCGAAATTGACAGTCATAACAGTATTTGGATTGGCTATCATTTCTAGTCTATGGAGTTAATCAGCTGAAACAAGCGGCTGCTTATCGTTATCAAAGGCCATTATATAAAGTTGTGAGTCATTTCTGTTATAATTTGTGTTAAAAGCTACGTAAACTATTCATATTTATAAGATATATGTACATCGTAACAAACTTGAGCTGTATTCGATTTTATGCGTAGCACTCAGACTGTACTATTATAATTTTGCAAATAACAAACTATCACAATCTAAGTATATATTTAGCATATTTATTTATTTATAATATTTATATATAATATACATCAATCAAGTTTCTGTTACTTCGACTGGAGCAGAGCCGATCTCTAGGTCGGGTGCTCTTCCATATAGACATTAGTTTCAATTTCTTTTGTGAAAGAGTTGTTTCCCACACCACTTGATGTTGCGACAGATAAACAGCTCAGAGAGCGCACTTTATCTAGATACAAATCTTGTTATTTAATTAAAGATGATAAATTTGTAGAGAGTGTCTTTTAAGATTTTCGATTTTAGTGTGCACAACCGGATCGGGAATACTTTATCATAGCAGCTATTGGTCAAGCAGTTTATTGATACTATTTTAGTCTGAATACAGTTGGGTGAAAATTTCAAATTTTCACACTTCAAATAGTAGCGAAAAATGTCAACTAAGCGTATTTAATCTATGCCAGTCTGCAGATAAGTGTTATTTCTGGTCATTATATTGTTTAATGAGTTTGTCAGCATTAGACGTTATATAGGAACTCATGACGTTGATCGAACTAATAAATTAAGCATAATAATTTGCATAAGAAACTAATTAGTTTTATTTGAATTATTAATAATAATTATACAAACGATACACTTTACACTTTAGCTAAAATGATTCCATACATTTGTTGATAAGCCTTACAAGTTTTAAGTGTCTAGTTTTCCGTATTTATATAAATGATATAGTTCAGTGCTCATTCTGTGAAACTCTCTATACTCAGAGTAGGGTAGATTTGAGTGTGCCAGAGCAACAGTTGTCTGATAAGCCGAGTTTTATGAATAGCCCCGAGTGCGGGAAGCTGGTTTGTATGCCGCTCAGTTGTCTTTTGGATGCGGAGCAGAGCACAGATCGCCGAATGGATGCGTATTTATTTGTCGGGCTGCTTTTGGCGCTCGTCTGGACGAGCAGGGCTCAATCACTGCGCAAATTTCCAGCTATGAAGGACTTCAAGTGCGATGCAGCCGTTCCGGGACGTCCTCTCAATCTAACTGCTGTAAGTTGGAATCTCCAGAATAAAGTCCATGGTAGTTATTTTCCAAATGCCTCAGATGTCGGGCTATTGGTACGAGGCAGGACGCGCACCCAACGTAAATGTTATGAAATGCTTGAATATCTCGGTGCCAGCAACTGCGGATATTAAACTAAAACTGAGGTTGGAATACATAAGCACCATAGCTGATCAGATTCGTGCGGTTAACGAGACGATTTCATTTCCCTGGGATGAGTTGACGAAGAACAACATTTTTGTGTTGAACTATGGCAACGCGTCCACATTGCCCATCACAGTCATCTACAAAGTGGTTCATACCGACCCTCAACGGTTGACCGTGATCTGCGGCTACTCGAGCATGTCGCCCATGCCGCTCGTCAAGATCTTGACGCGTCAGCGCCAGTTAAATCAAGAGTACATTGATATTATTCAAGCGGAAGTCGACAAGGCGGGCCTCGGTTCTTATTTCATTTGGACAGAACAATCGCCGGAACGCTGCAATGCTGCAGCGCGTCCGCCCAGAGAAGCTCATACAATAACAATACCCGTGCTGTTGACTCTTCTATGGTGTCTGCTCCAAGGGAATTGTCGTTTATAGTCCGGAATATATGCTTATTTTATATGTATACCGACTAAGTAGCTCAGTCTATAAATATTAATCATATAAATATATGCCGCAGAAACAATTTTAAATGTAAACGCTCAATCTCTATGTATATAACTGTCCTCACTGACTGACTGACTGACTGACTGACTGACTGACTGATTGATTGGTGATCAATCTTTGCCAGTCTGCAGATAAGTCTTATATAGGAACTCATGATCAAAGTAATAAAAAACAAATAATAAATTAAGCTTATAGGAAAATAATTTGCATTAGACTCCAATTGGTTTTTTTTTTTAATTATTAATAAAATAAATATAATAATTATACAAATGATACACTTAACAATTTAGTTAAAATGATTCTATAAATTTTTCGATTATTTTCCGTATTTATATAAATGATATTGTTCAGGGCTCATTTCGAAAACTTTCTAAATTTAGTATAGGGTAGATTTGCGTGTGCCAGAACAACAGTTGTCTGATAAGCCGAGTTTTATAAATTTGCTGTCTTGTGGATGCGGAGCAGAGCACAGATCTCCCAATGGATGCGTATTTATTTGTCGGGCTGCTTTTAGCGCTCGTCTGGACGAGCAGTACTCAATATTTTTGGTGAGGGAATTCCCCTTAATCTTACTGCTGTAAGCTGAGTTACCGGAATAGAGTCCATGCTAATTAGGAACAAGGAAGGGATACGAAATGCTTGAATGTCTCGGTGCCAGCAACTGCGGATACCGACCTAGAACTGAAAGTGGAATACATAATCATCATGGATGATGACGCTCGTGTTGTTAAGAAGACGATTTCATTTCCCTGGGATAAGTTAACGCAAAACGGCATTTTAGTGATGCACTATGGCCATGCATCAGTCACCTATAAAGTGAAGAATATCGATTAAAGTGAGATCGCACTCTGCAGCTCAGCAGGTTGTTTTCGCGTCAGCGCCAGGTAAGTCAAGATGCCTTTGATTCTGCTCATGAGGCATTCGAAGGTACGGGCCTGAAATTAATTTGTCCAGAACAGACACCGGAACATTGCAATGCTGCAGTGCGTCCGGCCACAGAGGCTGCTACAATACTCGCCATGTTCTATGCTGCCTGCTCCGAAGCAATTGTCTTTTATATTCTGAAATGTATATTTTTATTTTTTATACCGACTAAGGTCTTCATTCAAATCATAAAAATTATGTTTAAATAATACCGAAGAAGCAAATTATTTTATATGTGACAATTTATGTACATACTATTCAGATGTCTGAAAACCTTATGTTTATATTTCCCTATATGATTTTTTTTTGTATTGTATTGAAAAGGAACTAAACAAAAGTCAGGAATACCAGTCAAATCCATAACATTTTACAAAAGAAACAATCTGAAGCTGATGAACAATATAATAAAATATTGTTTTATGATTCCTAATATGATATTAACACTTATTGCTTCTTTAAGTAAAATATCGAAAATTGTATTTTTCACCTTTACTTCTTAGACATTTACATATACATTTTTTTTCCTATCTGGGACTTATCGGGCCCGACAGTTGTAAACTATGTCCTAAGCCTATAATTCAAATCAAAATAATAATGTTTAAAATGATAATAATGATAAGAATATATCTCATTATTATTTTAATGATTATTGCTATTACTACAATAAAAAATCTTTTTAATATTATTTAAATAAAAACAAAAATATATATATTTAGTTTGTGTGTTCAAGTTTTGTGAATTGGTTATAAAAATAAAATTATCAAATAAAACTAAAATATAAAAAATTATAAGAAAAAACAAATAAAAATATCTATAATATAATAAAAGTTAAATGTAATTATTCCTATTATTATTAATTTTATTTATAATATAGCTTTATGTATTTTGTAGTTATTATTATTATTGTTATTTATATGTTATATATTTTTGAATGTGTTATTTATGTTTTTATTATGTTTTATTATTATTATCATTATCATTTTTACTATTATTATTATCATTATTATAATTAATATTATAATTTCTTTACATTTTATTTTTCTTATATCGAATCCATTAATATAAAATATAATATTTTTTTTTTCTATATTCGAGTTATTTGCATTGATGTAAAAGTATTCCAAACTTTGCGGCATTTTATAGTACATTATTGTGGCGCTTTCTTCTTTAACGTTTCATACATAGTTTTTAAAACATTTTTACGCTAATATTTATGTACTTATTTTTTTTATTGCTTAGTGTTAATAATTTTTTGAGACTTTCGTCTGTTTCGTTGTTGCTGTGCAGTTTTCCAGCTGATAAGCGATTTGTATTTAGATTAAATAAAAATAAAATACACATAAAGCGAGCTGAGAGAGACGAATTTCTGTGCAGCGTGCTAAGGGAGCTCGGGCAGCGGGGTCAGCGGGGTCAGCGGTTCGATTTTGAGGGCTCAATAAGCACACACACAAGGGCAATTTTATAGCGTGCAGCTAACGTGTGCAAGTCGAATACGCACGACTAGCAGATACCTTGTAATCGCTTAAATGAGGGAAAAAATATGAAAGCACACATACATACACAAATGTTTACACACAAATATATTTTGTAAAGATTTTGCTCAAAAAATTAAAAATAGATTCTTCAAACAAAAATTCGTAAAATAAAATATATAAAATCAAGATAAATAATTATATTATTTATTAATCGGATATTAATTATATATCTAAAGTATGGTAAAATTTGTTCGTTTTAATACAGTTTTTTTTACAGAATACGTAAGATCAACATATGTGAATCACTCTGTTCAAGATTATATATATGTATATATATATATAATTGCGAGAGAAGAAGTATAATTTGCACAAAAGCAAATAGCCTCTATGCATTTCAAATGGCTACAGGGTATTCAAAAATAGCCCGGCACATTGAAGAATTTTCGATTTACTTGGCAATTTTCATTTTCATAAACTGGCTGCGGCCAAATGGGTCAAAATAAAGCGAACGGAATGAAAATGCTTTAAGTAGGGCCGCCAGCGCTTTCGGCTGGAGCATCAACTCCAACTCGCATCGACTTCATTGGCCTTTTGGGCAGCTGGTGTGTGCCAAGGAGCTGACCAGCTGTGTGGTTCGGTTCGGTTCGGTTCGTCCATGGATTGAAGTCAATGAAGTGCAAATCGTGGCGCAGTGGCCACTTTCATTGATTTGATGCGTTTGCGTGTGCCGCTTGCGCTTGTTGCATGCTTGACTTGATCGACACACGAAGCAGCAGCTGGCTGCCATGTTTTCCTAGTGGAAGCTGTAGCTGTTTACCTAAAGCTAGCCAAGTGAAATTGAAAGCCCCTTTCCGGCTACCATAATTGTGGCCAGCTTCTGGACGGGCGCTGCTTTCTGTTAGCTTTTCGTAATAGCGTGCGTGTGTGTGCGTGTGTGTGTGCACAACATGATTACTTTGCCAAAGCCGATTCGACGTAAATCATGCGATGACTCTGCGGAAAATGGCGCAAACATGCAAACCCCCTGACACCCAAGCCCCTATCCCTCCCCCTGTCCAGTTCTTGTGCCCTCGAAAACTACACAAAAGCGAAAGTTAATGTGGCACATGAGGTCGCCGAAGAGCAGAAGAGTTAACAAGTTTTTAGCTTCGGATTCGGCCTACGTGGTTCAATTACTTTTGACATTTCTTTTAACAAATGTACAGCACGCTTCAAGGCGCACACCTTTGCGGTAAACTCTCGAACTATGCGGAGAGAAAGAGAGAGAAGATTGGCGAAATATCTGGTCCAAATGAGATCCAATTGGGCCGGAAGGTTAAAAAATCTCATTAACTTTTCATACTCTAGTTGAGGGTGTTCTAGTTTTGTGATGAAATGTGTTATAAGCCATATATATTCTGATCGGAATCGGCAGACGATTCGATATATTCATGTCATGTAAGCTAGAATGTCGGAATCGGCTGGATCGGAGCACTATGTCATAAGGCTGACATAGGAACAATCGATCAAACGTGAAGTTCTTGAATGAAAATAGATTTTTTTTCCAAGATAACATGATCGAGTTTGATTAACATCGAATCACCTGATTATAAAGCCGTCCTAGGAACTATGGGTCGAAAGGAACCTAGTGTTTGGTAAACTTTTTTGTTTCTTAAGATATCTTGACTAAACTTGGCCTTTACAAGCCAATACATCTTCATATAACTCCCAAATTACGAGCTTTACAATTCTCCTTACACATATCAGCAAAACCCGTACGCCACATTTCTTTCAGAATATTTAATCTTCGGCATATCGAATATAGCTATTCGTTCGTTTTGTACTCTTTTAAATCCGCGACAATAGGTTTTGTTCGGAAACACGTGCCTTGGTTCATATTCCTCAAACGCTAACGAGTAAAATATGGGTTCAATCAAATATGTGACAAGGTTGAAAACTTTTAACAATATTCTGCGCAATTGGAATAGATATAGGATATAGGACCTTGAGGAAAGGCGACTGGCATTCACGTTATAAGAAAAGAGAGCTCATTTCAGCGTTGGCCAAAAACAAAGTAAGGGCTAGAATCTTTGAGATTTAGCTGTTATAAGTCCCACATCGTATCTGAAGAGCCCAACAAATCAAGTTGAGCACAGTGAATAAGCCAATGTTAAAATTATAATTTAAATTTGGTTACAATTTCAATTTAACATATCGTGTAAATATTTTGTTTTGTCATGCCTGAGCGGTCCAATGAATTTAATATGTGTCTCTCAATATTTGAATACGCCATGCAATTATTTATACTCTTAAAATTGTAGCTCATTTTTGAATTGATCCATTCCCGCGCCGGGACCCGAAAGCTTGTTGACTTTGTGACACATGGAAATCGCGCATTTAATTTGCCCGACAGCAAATCGAAATCGTAAATCAGCGAACCGTTGACAAATTAAGTATCTGAGAAAATCATATCAAGAAATTTGCATAGCAAGCGTCTGCCTCAATAAATATCAAGTTAATTAAATTTGACACACACACACACAGTCGCAGTGTAGGAGCTCAGGGATAATACGATTGTGTCAAAAATAAGTAAAATGTTGGAAATAACAAGTAAGAATCTGCTTCAGTTGGAGAGTGCTCGACCAGCAGATACA